TGTTTCTCCTAATGGCCACCAGGTGGCAGCACTTCCCCAGGAATGTGGACAGCAGAGCCAGCCTTGTGGGTTGAATCTGAGACTGGGAACCACCAGGGTGGAAACTTGGAGGGACCCCACTCCGAGGCCCTTGCCAGTCGCTGCCCGCTGACCCCCAGTGTCTCCCTTGCCAGGCTATGATTCCCTGGGGACTGGGACTCTGCCTTGTCCCTTCCACCATCTGCCCCAGGAACTCCGGGAAGCCTTTGCACCTTTCCCTCTTCTCAGCCTGGGCATCAACAGCACCTCCTCCAGGAAGCCCTTGCTGGCCCTTGGTTGGGCAGGAGCCCCTTCTCTGGGTCCACGCAACACCCTGGATTATTGGGGATGGTGAGGCCCTGGGGCAGGGATTGCTGGTGCCTCGCACAGGCCCACCCGAGTGTGCACAGACACTGCATGCTCACAGCCTCTGACACAGTGGTCCTCAAACTGTGGGAGGCACTGGCATCACCCGCAGAGCGTTGTGAAATGCAGTCTCCAAGCCCTCCCCTTCCCCAGAGATTCTGATCCCACATATCTGAGCCGGAGCCCAGGAATCTGCATTTAAGACACTTCCCAGCCAATTCTGATGCAGAGGCCTGAGCATCTTAGGGTCCTATAAATGTACCATGGGCCCCATTCTCTGCAGGGTTTCAGCAAAGTAACTATAAAGGACCATGAAAACCTCTGACACCTGTGCTATGTGAATCATTCACCAAACATTTTCACACATGGCTCTCCTTTTTTGTCTTCCCCTTTTAATTTATTTATCGGTTTTTTGAGACGGAGTCTCACTCTGTTGTCCAGGCTGGAGTGCAGTGGCGAGATCTTGGCTTACTCCAACCTCTGCCTTCTGCGTTCAAGCAATTCTCTTGCCTCAGCCTCCTAAGTAGCTGGGACTACAGGTATGTGCCACCATGCCCAGCTAATTTTCTGTATTTTTAGTAGAGACGGGGTTTTGCCATGTTGGCCAGGTTGGTCTTGAACCCCTGACATCAGGTGATTTGCCTGCCTCAGCCTCTGAAAGTGCTGGGATTACAGGCGTGAGCCACCACGCCCAGCCTGTCTTCCTCTTTTTAACTACTGTCTTGGGAGGATCATCATCCTCACTCTACAGACACCAAGGCTCAGAGACAAAGGGTGACTTGTCCAAGGTCCTCCAGCTAAAAGAGCGGAGCTGGGATTTGAGCTGGAGCCACCCTGGGCTGCGGGAACTCCGGTCTCTGTTACAGCTGTTGGATTTGAAGAATGCTGTTTTTCCAAAACCAAAGTTCAGAACCTAGACACAGCCTGGTGACTCCAGCCCTGTGGAGGAAACTCGGGTCACTGCCACCATCCCCGTTCAGGCCCTCATCTCCTCCCTGAGACATCCAACCCTCGATCCCTCTTCCCATCCAAGTCCTCTCCTCCTGGACCCAGAGAAAGCCTCATCTCATACTAAAGCCGCAGCTATTTCTGCAAGCACTAGATTCACGACCAGGTATTGTGCTGGACACCGTGGACGATTCAGAGAAGAGCAAAACAAGGCACCCTCCACCCCCACCAGGGACTTCCTGTCTAGCTGGAAAGACAAGAAGTGCTTACTTGGGTGACAGAATAAGGTACTTGAACTTTCTTTTTTCTCGAATAGATTCCTGGTCCCAACCAGACCCCCTGAATTGACTGAGGCATGTTCCTGTGTTGTGCGGGCTGATTCAGGTGACCCCTCTGCTAAAAAAGCTAAGCGGGTCATGACATTTTCACACCAACAAGTATTACAAAGCAACCCGATTTTCTTTTTCTTGTTTGTCACAATGACACCTGTTGATGGATTCCAAGTATCCTATGGAAAGTGGGAGCGCCAGGGATTAGAAAGTCCGTAGAGAAAGAGGCCGGCCGAGGTGGCTCACGCCTAGAATCCCAGCACTTTGGGAGGCTGAGGCAGGTGGATCACCTGAGGTCAGGAGATTGAGACCAGTCTGGCCAACATGGTGAAACCCTGTCTCTACTAAAAATTCAAAAATTAGGCCGGCTGTGGTGGCTCCCTCCTGTAATCCCAGCACTTTGGGAAGCCAAGGTGGGTGCATCACCTGAGGTCAGGAGTTCAAGACCAGCCTGGTCAACATGGTGAAACCTCGTCTCTACTAAAAATAAAAAAAAAATTAGCCAGGTGTGGTGGTGGGTGCCTATTGTCCCAGCCTCTCGGGAGGCTGAGGCAGGAGAATCACTTGAATCCAGGAAGCAGAGGTTGCAGTGAGCTGAGATCTCCCCATTTGCACTCCAGCCTGGGCAATAAGAGCGAGACTCCGTCTTAAAAAAAAAAAATAGCTGAGCGTGGTGGCAGGTGCCTGTAGTCCCAGCTACTCAGGAGGCTGAGGCAGGAGAATCGATTTGCCCAGGAGGCAAAGGTTGCAGTGAGCTGAGATCATGCCACTGCACTCCAGCCTGGGCAACA